CTGCGCCTGCGCTGCCCATAACGTGACCGTGCCAGCACCGAGAGCGGCACAAGAGCGCCCAGAGTGCCTCCGTTCTACCCCACCCCCGGAGGATTTCTCCAGGAGGAGGAGGAAGAGGAAGGTGAGAGGAGGGGATTCCAGGAGGGAAACTGAGGCTAGGGGAAGCAGAGGGCTTTAGGGTTCAAAAGCAGTGGGAGCTGCAGAGGGGAGTGCAGCCATGCGTCAGGAGCAGTTCAGAGAAGGGTGACCCGTGGGGAAAAGGTTGGGGCAGATGCAGAGAGCAGCACCATAAATTACAAATATTGTACCAAATTGCTTTGCCAGAGACTGCCAGATTTTTCGCCTCCTTATTCTTCGCCTCATTAGCTTCTACTGTTAATTGTACTCCTCTGTCCAGGAACTTGTCCTCAGGGGCACAGCCACAGCCCCCATGCCTCTCCCTGCTGCTCCAGCACACCCCCCACCACGAGAACGTGGCTGTTGGCAGCGACGGGTCGGGAGGAGAGATGAAACAGCACCAATTAATTAAATGTGATTTTAGCATGCCGAACCTTCGTTTCCCATTTCCTCAGGCACTGAGGGAAAACTCCTCTGAACTGCAGAGGGGGGCTGGAGAAGGGGGCACAGCAAGGAGACGGTGACTTGGGGAAGATCTCCTGCTGCCTTCGTGCTCTGCCAAAAAACAGCAACCAGTGAAGAAGCCACCCACCCACCGACGCCCTGCCATGCTGTCCCTTTGCTCCACGGGTATCGTGACAGAATCTGTCTGATGCTGTCAGAACTGCTGCGCATCAGTCAGATTTCTGTCCAATTCCTAGCTCGCTCTGTTCAGAGGATGCAGCCTAATGGCTTTGTGATGAACGCTAAGAAAACACCCCAAATTTGGGAACAGACACTGAGGTAACGAGTGAATCGGCGCCCTTGGCATGAATATTGCAGACGTGCCATGGAAGCGCATCGCAGACTAACAAGGCAAGATAAAAATCACCAGGTAGGATTATCCTGCAAGGCATGTCAGGTCCCATTTACCAGGTCAGTTGTTAGTACCAGCTACGAGGCTGCTTCTGAGCACGATCCACTGTGGCTTTACCCACTGCCAAGAACAACCTCCGTTTCGACCTCAGTGTAAAAGATTCCCCGTCGCACCAGATGATGCGCTGTAAATCTGAAGGCTGTTGTCCATTCGCAGCAGCCCTCTGCTTTGCTCATACGTACACTAGCTAACAGGGTCAAGAGGCTTCACATCAAGACAATTTTTAAGTCACTTTTTTTTTTTAAGCTCCTCTTGTCCAGAGTCACAACAGCAGCTTGGGTACAGGAAGAAGCTCACGCGACTATCACCAGTATCTTCTCGGATGTTCTGAGTATTACTGTGCTCAAAGCCCTATGTCAAGTGAGGATTTTACCCTGAAATGACACAACTGCTCTTTTATATCCATTTCCTGTCATAAACAAGTCCACAAGAAGCATTCCATAGGAACACATTCTTATGCAAACATACTAAAAGCAGGAAAACAGGATGAGTACATAAACTGACTGCAAATGATTAATGAAAGAGTAATTAGCCTAAGTAGCATTAAAAGACTATAGGCAATTCAGTTAAGTACAATCTGCACGCAAACCAGTGAACATCACTCATGATGCCAAGGCCAAAACTGAGGAAAAATTAGGGCACGTCCTTTGACACCTGGTGGAAAATTTCATCAATGGAGGACAAGGAACAGACATTTTTAATGCAATATGACCAATAAAAATGGGGCAGAGAGGCCACACGCTCCCTGAACGGCAGTGCCAAAACCACCACCCAGGAATTGCACGCTGGCGGCCTCCCGAGCCCCCACACTAGATGACGCTTCTTCCCCTGGGGTCCCCAATGGCAGAAAACCGCGGCCCCGGGGAAGCAGGAGGACCTCTCTGAAACACAACGCGCTCCGCTCCTCCTTCCCTCGAGTGAGTTGTCCTCGCTGCTGATGTACATCTGTAGCAAAACAACCGTGCCTCTCAACCAGGTCTGAGTTTCCAGCACATACAGTCGAAAGGCACGCACGTCACCCCCACCCATTGCCAGAAAACAAACAGAGGGGGAGGCATGGATTCATCCCACATAGTTTTTAACTGAAATATTCAAATTAGGAGTGTAGTTTCCCCTGTTGGTGTCTGTTCCAGCTTCCCAACATCTGCAAGACACTTTCATACTGTTCTGGTAATTAAGAATCTGTAAATTTTAAGACATTTCCATTTTGGACATGGGAACTGACAGACTAAATTTGAAAATTCTAAAGCATTGTAAAAATGGCAGGTCTGTCTTCTGTTTTCCCAGATCTTTTCTTTTTAACAGTGTTAACTTACTAATAAAGAGGTATGTGAAATGCAATAGAAAATTCTCCTATTTTTAAACATAAAGGAGCCTTGCAGTTCTCCAGCCCACCTCCAGTTCAAGTACGAGTCCCACTTCTGCAACCGAAAGATCTTCAGGCTCCTAAAGTTTAGAGTCACCCAAAAGTCCATCAAACACCACTATATGCCACGTCAGCAGAAATACAGCAGACACGCCTGGACACTTTCACAAAGTTTGTTTACAACAAACCTTCTGCTGTTCCTCAGCAAAGAAGAACGAGCTCTTCTCACCTCACCCCCCATCAGTGAGTTCATGAGATTAGAGTCTTCCTGAACTCCTCACCCTCCTAAATTGCACTTGTTTGATCTCTTTCTGTTGGAGAGGCTGGTATGTGGTAGCACAGGCAGCTTTGAGCATTCAGGTGCACCTGAGGCTACTGATTTGGTACTGTGTGACTTCTACCGGTAATGCTGACCTAGTCCAGCTTTCTGGGACTAGTGACCCTTCTTTTTCTACCTTCCTGCCTTCTTTCCACAGGATTCTTACTGACAAACAATCTGTATTTTACCCCTCAAGTAAAAAGGTAGAGAGAAATTAGAGGGTGAGCGATTTTCTTCAGGCCTTTATGTTTCAGAAGAGCTGAATATTCACACCACCGCCTCACAGAAGGGCATCCCTGAGTGCAGGAGGTTGTCCTGTGAATGCCAAGAAAAAAGATGATCCTACCGAGACACTAACCTTGCTTTTAATTTCCAGATCTCTCCCATGGACTCTGTGACACCCTGTGTGACCCTAGGTCATGCTTCAGATCACACCTGAAGCCCTCTCATGACTGAAACCAACAGGGATGCCCCTAGGATAAAAGAGTTGATAATAATCATTCAATACTCGATGTTAATAATCTCAATCTCATTCTTTACTTTGCACTGTAGGGTAACAGCTCGAGGGTAGTGACTATTGCTAAAGCAAGAGCAGACTTCCTACTCAGAGAACTCAAAATTGCTGATCCTTACAGTCTCTCTAATCAAAGCACTGCATTCAGTACACCCATTTTAATATTAGATAATTCCTCTGAATCTGTCACTGTCCAGCAAAGCAGCCTTTAGAGACCAATGAAATTGTTTTCAACAAATAAAGTACTAATTTAGTAATAATGGTAGCATCTTGGCTATCGCAGTGAACAAAACTTGCAGTCTGCTAATGCCATGGGGTCTGCTTCTGGACAGTAACTGCTCAGTGATATTATCAGCTGTTGTAAAACCTCTTGGCCATGAAGTTAATGATTAACTCAAGTCCCCATCTCATAAAAACATCGTATCGTAACAGCATAACACACTTAAAGCTGCCACTAATCAATCATGCATACAACAGGAATAAAGCAACACATAAAAGGAGCCAGAAACTCAGCAAATCCTTCAGTTGAGGGAAGACAAACCACACAGAGGTTTATCTCCATGGAGAAAGCCACCGACAAGCTAAACAATGAAAACGGATCAACAGCTCCCAGAGTACCACAGGCTGGAAAGGACAGTCCTGTGCCCACTGCGGAAGGTGCTGCAGAAATGAGCAGAGCAGAACTCCTAACAGAAAACGCTGCAGACGTGAAGAGGATGGAATTCACTGAAGAATGTATTACAGAAACGGAGACACCTTCAGGCACAGAGCGAGACAGTCCTGATGCCTTTAAACCAGCAATTTTGGAAAGAGACTGTCCAAATTCAAATCCTCTCGTTATGCTAACAAACTCAAACTCTCCCGAAGTATTCGGTTGTGAAATGAACCACCAGCGTTCAACCACAACATCTGTTGATATGGACTGCCTAGTCTGCTTCAACAAATACAACATCTACAGAGTACCAAAGCTCCTGGACTGCGGGCATGCCTTCTGCGCAGTCTGCCTCAAGCTTATCCTCAGCAAAGAAGAGAGTACCTGGATAATCACCTGCCCCCTGTGCAGAAAAACTACTTTTGTGTCAGGAGGACTCATCCGCACACTTCAAAATAAAGACGACGTCATGGAACACTTGGAAAACCTCGATTCAAATCCTGAGGTACATATCTCTGCCATAGGGCTGGACAGCAATAGCTGGACTCAGACCAGCCAAGATGTTTTACACGGAGAGGAAAATGTTCCGGTAGACAACAGACTGGCTGTCCAGAGACTCGTGCTGCTCCTGCTGCTCGTGGTGATTCTCACTATCCTCATCCTCCCGTTTATATACTCTGGGCTGATAAAATGGGTAATTTGTCTCATGCTTACTTTGGGGTTGGTCATGTCTATGGTCCTTTGCTGCACTCCTAAATTCTACTGGAGGTGTAACAGGGACTCGTTCACCTCCTGCCATAAGCAGACCCACATCGTTGCTATTGCCTGAAACAATTAACATGCACTGCCTAAAGACTGGTCCTGCCTGCAAAGCTGCATGTTAGGCACGCTAGTCAGTTATTGGACTTTGAAAGCAATCATTCACGTAGTAAATTCAACAGGTGGCTAAGCTGGCTCAAGGGCAATGCACAGTGGTGTTAAATTTCATCACTGGAAGCATAGTAAAATATTTATATGTTGATATCTAGGACATAAAAATTGTAGGGTTTCCACACTATTTTTATCCCAGACTAATAATTTTGCTGGTTTGCTTTTGTCATTTTGTTCTTGTTCGTGCTCTCTCCTGATTAGTACTGCAGAACATTATCTGAAATGCCTCACAGATGATGTCCTGTGAAAATCCCTTGCTGTGGTTGTGTTTCCCACTCTCTTAACGGATGCACACCTTTTCTTGTGACAATGTGGGGAAATAAAACTGCTGAATCAGGGACTGGACACCTAGCCTCAATGGAAGAGAGTCGTTTTAACCCAGGTTATCCCTTAAATCCCTATCACTGCCAAAATGGTTGCTGTCGGGGATGGGAAAGGGACTGGGAAAAGGGCATGTCAGTCAATAGCATTTTAAGTTACACACGAAATTGGAGAGGAAGAGGCAAAATCAACACTCCTAATCTCGAGTCTGTGGCTTGCAAAGGGCAAGGCTCTCAAAAGCTCATGACACTCCAAATTCCCCTTGTTATTTAGCACAGAAATAGTTCCTCTCACCTGAACTCCTTTATCCAGCTACCCGCACCGCCTCTCTTCTTGCCTTTTACATGAAGTGTGACATTGGCCTTGGAGATGCCCACACAGATAAACAGAAATCTCTCAGTTGCTATGCTATACCACATGTGATATTTTTATATGGAATGTGTCCATTAAAGTTTAATAATGTTAATTGCTCATTGACTTCTGTGTTTCAATTCCTCACTGACAATTAATGTCAAAACATCTCAGTTTCCTCACTGGCAGGAACTACAGCTGAGAAAGCATATTAGGGAATCTGTACAACTGAGTTGGTGAGTAAAGCAAAAAAGTAATGTGTTGGGTTTTCCCTTGATTTAAATAAATACTTAGTTGCTAATAAAATATCCTATAAGCCAACCCAAATTAAATTGGAAAAAAAATTAGAAGTTTGCTCTTAGTTAAGTTACATTTTCAAGAGTACCCTGGATCTCCATAGACCTTGGATCAGGCCTGTGGTAAATATTTGTGTTCGATAAGAATGGAAACTGATGTACCCCAGTTGCTCAGTATATATATATACACATAGTGTCTCACCAGCAGATAAAACGGATTAGACGAAGAGGGTAAGGAGCTGCTGTCCTCCTAGAGTCTTGGAAAAAACAGGTCTATGTTCTGCCTAAAAACACAAACCTGCAAGGGAAATAAATGCTTTGTTTTTTCCCATATATTTAGGCAGCAGCTGCCTTATTGCAGAGTACGTATATAGTAACATTTGGTAATAAACAACCAGAAAAAAAGTTTTTCAATTGGGAAAATGCAGGTAGTTTTAAACCCAAATATTTTACTGAGTTATTCCAAATACAGTGACTGGACAACCTGTACTGAAAATAATTTCAGAAGCTCTTGCCAAGTCTTTCAGCTCATAGACAATTTTCCTGTCGAGTTCCCTTCACTAACACTAATGGGTGACTGGTACTGTAAAGGTTTGTAACAAATATATTAATATTGGCCTGAATGTAGCATGCATAGTAAACTAGAAGGGTTAAAAGAAAATCATGTGCTAATTAGTACAGAACACTAATCTCATTCAAACAACCAGATAGCAAGGAAGAAACAGACTGCCCTAAAGATAAGATTACAAAGATGAACAGGATGAGAGCCATAAAATAATCTCAATTAAAACAAAAAAAAAAGATAAAACTTGGGAAATTTTGCCTAAAAGAGGAAGAGACCAAGCAAGATTCCCAACGACACCAACTCCAGAAGGGTGTACGTCACACCCAGTATCAGTTTGCCATCATCAGTCAAGAAACATAATGAAGATTTTAGAGGCAGCGTCCCTTCGTCGCCGCATCACACACAATGGAGCCTGGTCAGCCCATGTGGGCTTGTCAACACACAGGTGTGAACAAATGAAATCAGAGAATTCAGGAAAAATCAATTTGTCACTTATCACCCTGTCCTTCCAAATGGGTATGTTCAATTTTATTACACTAATTTCTACAGTGTCAAAAAAATGGCCAACAGAAAAGGGCTTCCCTGAAGGCAGTATACACCAGCGGGAAGGAAGCAGGCATGCTGTGCGATTACCAGTGAGAGACAGGCCCTCTGAAAGAACCCCTATGGATCCATACAGTAAGATCGCCAGCCGTTGAAGTCCAGGTTTCCACCCCCACCGCTTTCTATCTGCACCTTCCAAGCCTGCGTTCAAGCAATTCGGCCGAAACGTTTCTTCAGCCTTTGAGAGCCACTAACAATCAGCTGATTTGGAGTTCATGGATGTTGGTGGGAGTCATTAGGCCCTAGAACCTGATATCTTTATAACAGCTGTGGATTCTCATCTGAAAAGATAAGGTTCAATGACAATGTAAACCTTTGAGGCAGCAACTAAGTTTATGGATAAAAGGCCAAAAGAATTGTATTCCTAGTCCAAAACGTAAAGGATTTGGTTGTACTTAAGTTTAAATTCATGCCGGTCTTTTTGGCAAGAAAGTTTCGGCTCCGAATTGCCCGGCTTACCTTACCTAGCTGGCTCCCAATTTCACATAGTGACGAGGTAACATGCTGTAGCCTCAAAGAGAGAGGTTCATAATTAGAAATGGGCCCAGGCAGTAATATTCAGCTGTACCTGACAAAATGCATAAATACCTGAGAACAGTGACTTACAAAGAATCCCACCAAAACATTAAAAGCATGATAAGACCCAACAGCGGTATTTAAGGATTATAGTCTGTATAGACAGAATTCTGGACCAGAAGCTTCAAAGGTGTTTTGTTTAACAATGTGTGTACCCAGGCCAGTTTTAATTAAAAAATACGCCTATCCTTTTGTCATGCTGTGCTCCCACTCTGCCTCCCAGCCCACAGGGCTCTTCCCAAAGCCACAACTTTCCCTATCCCAACTCCTTTTCAGGCTTCTCATCAACCACCACCACCATCGCCCATCACAGTCACTAGTTACTTATATAAGAAAGTGAGACAGGTGCCTGAAAAATTTTGAGTGTAGGTGTTCTAAATTACCATTAAATGTAGAAGTCTCACTTTATCTACAGATCTTTAAATTATCCATAATTGTGCTGGCTTTGATTACTATTAACCTATGTAACAACATCCCAAGTTTACATCTGGTAAAACTCACTCATCATTCCACTCAACTTATGTTTTGGTCCACTTTTACCAGCTCTCCTGTATTATCACGGAGATATAAACAGGCAAAACCAAACATGGAATAAATAACACATTTCACACCTCCACATCACTCAGATTCTGTACAAAGAGAACTTCAAGTCCTCAAACACAGAACTGTCAAATCTACAAGAAACTTATTTGTAGATCTTGGTCTGAGAGACACAGATTTGTGTCCAGGTGACTCCTTGCTTGTTGTGAACCAGTTGCAACTTGTCCATTGTGTTGAGCAGTTACCTAAGTTGCAGGTAAAGTAGATACCTCCTGCACCCTAACTGGGATCCACAGAGCTCACCTTCTGAACTTCAGGGTCACGTTTAATGACTATATGATGATGCTTAAAATACCTATACGTTACATGAGTACTTATATGAGTAAACCTGAGGGGGTCTAATATTAGTTGCAAGCAACCAGGACATGATATTTGCCCAAATCAAACTCAGCTTTTAAACAGAACTGGTACCTGGATTTTTTTTTTTTAATTTATTTATAAGTAAGTCCCACACAGCAGATTTTAAAGTATAAATCGGTTACCTCAGCTACCAAGCAATCAAAACTTTTTTTGCTTTCGTGAAATGTGATCGTACAGAAAAACTACTCTCCTGCCCCTGAAAAAAACATGGATTTCTCATTAATACACATTGGACTTGGGGTTCCAGCCTGAGACTGCTCTCAGAACAAATGCTTATCTTAAAACACCCCAAAAACACAAAGCAAAAGCCTTATGCTTGGGTAGCTGAACTGATTCCAAAGCCTTAGGATTTCTGCACGGCCAATCAACCACAATGGAGAAAAGCCTCCTGAGCTGTGCCAGTGACCCTGCTGCTATCAAAAGCAACACATACATGGCCTTCCTATTTGCCTGACGAGGACATATATATATACATGCACACACCTCAGCTTCTGTTCATAAGGCTTTGGGATCCCACCCAGTAACATGGCACAAAATGTGAGACATGACTGAAGTTTGTTTTCCTCAGGGCAACCCTCAGAGATGCCAACCAGTCCTGGATGGAGGGGGCAAAGAAGTCTTTGGGGCAGCAACCTGAGAGTGGCTTCACCAAATATATATCCCTAGCTCTCTCTGTAACCCTCCCTCAAAGAGGGAGAAGTTCTCACAAAGGAAGAAGGGCTTTAAAGGGTGCAAAAAGGGCCAGTACCCAGGTAGGCCTAAACCCTGAGTGAGCCATCGACATGGTGGACAAGGCCAAGATTGTGGATAAAGGTAGGCTGCAAGGAAAGGAGCAGCTATACCCATCTTAGGGTGGAAATGGACCTATCTCAACCCGCCAGGGGGCAGGGTAACGGCCGGCCCGGGGCTGGCTGCCAGCCATCGCCATTACCTCAGCCCAGCGCCGCTCTACCCTCCGCAAGTTACGTGCCTCGCTACGCCGATCGCGTAAAGGAGTACAGGTCCGCCCAGAGCAGTCCGC